TAGAGAATATAATTTTTGTTCAAGCGATTTATACATTTCGTTTGTTATTTATTCATGCTTAACAGTAGCTCGTTACGTGCAGGGTCGAGCATTCGTGGCACAAATTTTTCAAATACGAGTGAATGGGAATTTTTGAGCGATTTATATTCCGTTTCTTATCAGTGCTTGACAATAAATTCGAAGGCTTAAAATAAAAAATGAAATTGGCTAATTCTTGATATACATATGCACTTATTCCATAGAAAGCAATGCAGAGAAAAATCCGCAGATTTAACGATGATTCATCCAACTTTGACGAATAGGGAAACGGACGTATTAAACGGAAATATCTTAACAAAACACCTTAACAAAGAGAAGAATCGTTCCACGATGCTCGATCTTGGCCCGATAAATCTTAAGCGGTAAAAAGCAAAAGCTGTTCCGAGCTTAAAGGTTGCGAGGAGGGCGGTTGCGTAAGCGAGAGCGCGCAACCAAGGAGCGTGGAATAAAAAATGAGAGATGGATGTGACAGGTTTGACGGGCGTGGAGAGATGGAGAGAAAGGGGAAAAAGGAAGGGAAGAGTTAGGGAGACTCTATCGAGGGATTCTAATTTAGAAGGAGGAGTATTTTCAAAAATTGGATCGAAACACTTTTGGAAATGTGCTCTATCTTGTATCCGAAATATTGGTATCGTGGTAGAACGGGGTATAAAAAAATGAATTTATATAAAAGCTCGGTGAACAGCTTTGACTTGAATCGGCGAACAAGAAGTCGTATAACTCCGTGGAAAAATACTCGAGCGAGTTTCTTGCGCGGTACAACGTATATAAATATATGTATATTTACCGGTGCGACGTTCGAGATACCAGAAATGGGAGAAAAACGGCTTACATTACGTGGAGAGGGTTGGAAGAAAAATCTTCGAAACGCACGTTGATCAAACAACGTTTTTCTCTCTCTTTCTCTCTCTCTCTTCTCCCTGTTAACGGTATTACTGTCTACTTTCTTATTGTCTCCGCGTTTTCCTTTTTTTTTTTAACACAATACGTGGAAAAGAATGGAACGAAAGAGCACAAAAGAAATGGATCGAAAAAAGAAGAGAGAGAGAGAGAGAGAGAAAGAAGGGAGAGAAGTGGAAGAAAGTGAAAGAAACGGGTAGAAAATTAAAAGAACGACGAGTCGGATAAGTCTTTGGCGCGGAGAGGTGTAAGAAAAGACAGAAGGGAAAAGATCGATAAGGAAGGAGGGAGGAAGGGGTTGCTGCCAGACGAAGATAACGGCGGATCTCTCGTCCAACGGAGAAAAGTTCCGTAATTTACCAAATGCCAGTCTACCGCACCATGCAAATTCCTCGACGTCGGAAACTTAACCGAGATTCGAAAACTTACTTCCGACGATGAAGGTTAATCTCGACGTTGGGTCTTGCGTCGATGGAAACGGGGTGCGGGAGACAGAGAGAGAGAGAGAGAAAGAGGGAGAGAGAGCTTACATATTCGGGACACCGGCTCTAAATTTCCAGGCGAGCTCCACTCCTTCTGTCCGTCGATTATTCGAAATTACGAATTCTGATCGAATGGTCAGAAGGTGTATCTGCTGAAAGTTAATGCATTGCGGGGACACACAATTTTGCAATGGCCGGAGAAGTTTGATCTTATATCAAGAAGAAGAATATATAAAAAAAAAAAACATCGACTTTGATAGATTTTTAGGGGGAGGGAGATGTCGAACAACAAGTTCGATGTTGGTTTATAATTCTCGCGTGATCCACTGTGATCCAAGAATCCAAGTGTATTATCGTAATCATGGACGGGGTGAAAAATTACGCGGGGCTCGAGGAAGGAGCTAGTCGAGGGGAGCGTGCGGTTTCGCTAATAACCGATAATTTAAAGCAAACTGAGCTCTCATCGTGTTGTTCGCGCGTAATTTTATTTTTCTTGTTTTCTTTTTCGTTAGATTAATCAACGAGGCCACTCTTTTCTCAGAGTAAATAATGGAAAGATTGCACATTGTATATATTTTATCATCGAATAATTAAAAGTCGAAGAATTTAGGTGGATCGATATCGACAATTATCTTATTTTTCGATAGATAATTTTAATTCGTTTCCAGTCTACTCTATCATACCGATGATATTAAATTAATCACCATTAAATAGTCTCCACTGTTCGAGATCAATCGCGGGATATAATATTCGCAATTTAAATATCATTTAGAATGTTGAAACTGTCAATTTAAAATAATACGTCCAATCGCGTTAATATCTATCGCGTTAATAAATAATATCGTTTAAAACGCAATTAAATTGTCAAAACTAAATCAATTTTAATCTTAAAATATCTAATAAAAATCTATATAATATATATATATATATTAACACGGAGTTAATCAACTATGCGAAACGATAAGAATGAACCTCTTGGTGAAGGCCGAGTGTCTTTTCTCGCGAATAATTATGACACACAGCCGAGGTGGATGAAAGAAGTGTAAAAATTTCAGCTGGGAATACAAAAGATTGTGGATTGTTCAAAAGGGCAAGACGAGAGAGAAAAAGAGAAAGAAGAGGGGGAGTGGAGAAGATAAAAGAGACGAAGATGGGGGGGGGGTGTCCAGTGGACGGCGACAATGAAAGTGTGAGAGAAGAAAGTTTAAGGAACGGGGTTGGCCGCCGCCGCCGCCGCCGCCGTTCTTCCTTCTTTTTTTCAACGACAGGCCCTGGGATGGGACCCAGGTTCTTGTCAGCCGGATTAACATCAACCCCGTCACCTGTAACGGCTTTCAACCCCCGTTGGAAAGATGTTTATCTGCCTGCAAACGAGATTTTTTTTCCCCCCTCTCCTCTCCCCCTCCTCCTTCGAAGGGTTGAGATTCGGACGAGTTAAACAACCCGGTGTTATATAGACTTAACTCGACGAGCGAAGATAATTCCTTGGAGAGTGAGTGAGAGAGAAAGGGAGAGGGAGGGAGAATTTCAGGAAGTGACGAAGCGAAGGGGAAGAGGAGGAACGCGTAAAAAGTTGCGCGATTAAATTTTCATTGTGTTCGTTTAAACGGGGATGAAGACGTTTAAAATGAAGTTGATGACGAACAATTAAACCGCCCGCTCACCGTTTCGCTAATGTAACTCGGTGGAATGTAATACGCCGTTACATATTTCATTCCCGTGGGAATAACGCGGCGGCGACGTTACCGGAAGACATTTTAAAATATGTTTCGTCGAGCAAAGGGCTCGAGGGGTGAGGAGTGGTACAAACACAAACGAAAAGAGAGAGGGAGGGAGGAAAATGAAGAAGGAACGAAAGTACTTCTTTTACGAGGAAATATGTACCGTTTCGGTCTCGGGAGAATAAGGTTAACGTCGTAAAGGACACACAATTTGTCCGCGACAAAAAAAGAAGAAGAAGAAGAAGAAGAAGAAAAAGAAAGTCGAGGTGGCTCAAGGAGGAAGGGGGGAAGCATAAAATGCTGAACATTCGAGGCAACGTTTGTCATAATTAAAACTATGGGGATTAGAATGAAGGTGAGGAGTGATCGGTAACCGACGAGTTTGTTTTTCGAGGAAAACCAAACCTCTCGCCGCGATCCGAACGGATAATGCGCAATGAGGAAAAAGAGAAAGAGGGAGAGAGGTGGGGGAAAAAATCGAGTGAGAGACCGTAATTGAAGGTAGGAAAAAAAAAAAGAAGAAAAAGAGAAAAAGAAAAAGAGGATAGAGGAACGGCTTTTATTACAACGAAATTAATCCGAGATCCTTTGGCCGGATTGAAAGAACTGTTGCCATTAATCACGATCGACTACTACTTAAACGTATGTAACCTCGAGCTCTAACTCGATGAAAATCGATTAATTTCGTCGGCGTTGGAAGCTAATACCCGATCGGATCCATCCGTTTGAATAAGATTAACACGGAAGGGAAGGGAGGGGAGTGGAGGGAGTGGAGGAGCTGCGTGAACGGGGCGAGAAGAAGCGGTGGTGGCCACGGACCAGCGGGAAAAATGCAATAATCGTAAGCGACCCAAAAACGAGCAAGAAAGGAAGACAGCAGTGGCGAAACTAATGGTAATCACGGGAGACGAGGAGGAGGAGGAGCAGAAGGAAGGAGGAAGCGACAGCGTGCAGCGGCTGCGGGCGAAAAATAGGTCGAAAGAATCCTAAGGAGGATTCATTACACAGTCTCCATGGAGGCTGTCTGCCGCGTAATCTTCGCCGGATCACGGGAAAAACACGGGATATTTTTTCGAAGGAATAAAATTCTGGGAGATCGACGTTGCGTCCGTAACGTTTCCTCTTCGTATATATATATATATATATAATAATAATAATAAACCTTCGTATAAATAAAACGGTACAAATTTCCTTGCAACTTCGTTTGGAAGGAAAGAAAAGAAGAAAATGATGGGATACTAAAAGCCGATTGGGAACGGTAATCAGCCGGTTGTATTAAGAATCGTAAACACGGGCGGGGGAAGACCGAGGCAAAGCGAAAGCTGATTAAAAAGACACCGAAAGAGGATGGAGAACAGCTTCCCCCCTCCTCCAATCGGGCAGGATTCGTTTAAAACTTTCGACGAGCAAACCGAAATCGTGCCGGTCAATCGACGAGCCGCAAATTTACGAGTCCCTTTGTCGAGAAAAATCGGACAAAAGAAGGGAAAGGTATTTTAACATGGTGAGAGAAGCAAAATTCGTTCTGGGAAAAGACGAACGTCTCGCGAAAGAGAAATAAGCGGTAGCAACCACCATCGGTAGTGGTAAGCAGCAGCAGTAGCAGTGTCGGTGGCAGCGGTGACGACGACGACGACGACACAACGAGAACGACGAGGAGTCGACTACGACGACTACGACGACGACGACGACGACGACGACGAGGATGCTGGTGGTAGTGGTGGCGGCGGCGGTAGTGGTAATCAGGAAAGAAGATGGAGAAGGAGGAAGGAGCGAGTAAGGGAGAAGGATGGAAGGAGGGGTGGAGGAAGGAGGAGGCTGAGTGATCGGCAGAGTAGAGGAGAAAGAGCACGCCTGCGCGGAATCCCCGGGCGGGCGCGGGCAGTGCCACTGGAGGCCCGGCGGTTTCAGAGCTTCGCCCGGGACGACGAACCGCAGACGACCCGTACGCAAAACTCGGTCGTAGTTAGCCGTGTTCGAAGGATCGAAAGGGGGCCGTAATCGCGCGAGGACGTAAGCCGCGACCCCCTTGGTGACCACGGGCCCCGCGTCGTCGTAACCGTGATAACCGTTTCGATCGTGGAAACATCTCTCTCTCTCTCTCTCTCTCTGGGGAGACGCGACAGATCGGAGAGCAGAGACACGTTGGTAAAACCACACCAACGTGTGCGGTGGACCGCACGACGACGATATATATATATATATATATATATATACATAGGATAACATGGTACACGGGTAGAGAGGATCGACGAGGTGCGACGATTGATTTTGGAGATAATATGTGATCAGTGAACAACGATTCGGAGAGGAGAGGAGAACGATCGGTGGTGTAAATCCGTAAAAAGGGTAAATTGTGCGCGAGAAAGAAGGGGGAAAGGGGCGCCGACGAAGGGTGACAAAGCATATATACATATATATATATATATACTATATATATATATATATATATGATACTATGCACGAGGTGGTCTGGTAGCGTCGAGCAGCAAGGAGGATGAACAGAGTGACGACGGAGGGTTAGGAGTGCGAGAGAGGGTGGACCGGCGGGGGCTTGGTGTGCTGGTTGTTTTGAGATGTCAGTGGACCCGTCGAAGGCAACTGCGTCGTCGTTCCCGTCGTCGTCGTCGTCGCCGCCGTCGTCGTCGTCGCCGTCGTTATTACTGCGCCCGTCGTCATCATGAGGAGATCCCCTTACGTGAATTACTACGTCCTGTGCCTCGTGTGCTGGATTCTCCTAGGCATCACCGGTAAGATCAATTCCACCGCCCCTCACATATGTTTCCGAGTTCCCTCGCCCTCGCCGCGGATCGTCAATCGATCTTTCGAGATTCCCGCGGGAAAGTGTCCGCGAACCACGCTGTCTGACAACGCGGCTCGAGCGTGGCCCGTTTTCCTTCTCGGGCCAATTATCTCGGCGGTGTGTCCTCGCTGTCCATCCTGTGTTGTGTGAACCTCCCCTCCCCCCTCCCTTGTTACCCTCGTTTCCAAATTTTCGCGAGAAGAAAGAAAGAAAGAGAGAAAAAATGAAAAGAAAGGAGGAGGGGAAGGATAAGGAACGAGGTGAAAACCGAGGCAGAGGGGCAAGGAAAGGGGGCAGGCGGGGCAAGCTTGCTTGCTACCCCCGAAGACTTGTACCGCGGATGGATCGATCAGATTTTGGGGTGTAACTGTGCGTGTATACGTGTTAAAATTAGCACGCGTGCATAATAATCGCGACGCCGTCCTCTGCCGTTTTTCCACGTCACACGGGGTATCGGGCAGCAGCAGCTGATCGTGCGTATCGGGCGATCGATCGACGGGAGCGGACCGAGGATCGAGAGGAGAGAGAGATACGCGAGTGGAGGGAAAAAGGAGGACTCGCAGGAAGAGGGAGGAGGGGAGGAAGGGGGAGGGAGAGGGGATGTGGAGGGAGGGGGCTGGTTTCGGACCCGGTCCAGGGCTGTATCCAGCGCCACCCTTGTTTGTCGCGGCGACGGTATTGTATTTTCCCCATTCTTCCTCTTCCTCTCCCTCTCCTTCTTCCTTCTTTCTCCCTTCGCTTGTCGCCGCAGTTTTCTTTTTCTTCTTCTTCTTCTTCTTTTCTTTTTTTTTTTTATTCCTCGCCATCCACCATCGACGACGGGTCACCGTGTCGTGACGACGACGTGATGATACCGTCATCGGGGAATAGAGAGAAGAGGAGGAGGAGGAGGAGGGAGGCGCGAGGTGAAGGCAAAAGGGTAGAGAGTGTTCCCTCATCTTCGCTCTGACGTCGTTCAGGGACGTGTCTATATCGATTTCATCTCTCGCGCGGCTGCATCGCGGTGATACGGTTAGCCCCTCTCTCTCTCTCTCTTCTTTTTTTACACCCTTTTCAACCAAGATTCTTCTCGTTGCGGCTTCCTCGTGACGACGCGCCACCACCGATCTCCGTCGAAGACGAGGAAAGATAGCGATCGATCGTGAGATCCCCCCGGCTCGTCGTATCTCTCTGCCCTCTTCGCAGTTTTGATAGCCTCCATTCACGACGGAGTAATGAATTTAAACTTAATTATATCGGTTGAAACGGCGCACCAACCAGCTATTCAACGTTTATCGCTCACTTCCTCCTTTCCTTTCTTACGCGACGTATCGTCGCGGTATAAAAAAAGGAAGAAAAAGAATATATATAGTCGATGATGTAGCGTCGCTTGAAACGGGTCACGATACGTGCAGCGTCTTCGTACATCAATCTCGAGGCTTATGTAACTCCTCCTCTATGGAGATCCCTGTTAGCTGCGCCATAAACGCGTTAATTACACCGTCTCGCGTCGACGCGAAATTTTTTGCTGATTCAACGCTCCATCAATTCTCCATCCCCTTCCAGACATGTTTTATCTTAACGATCTTCCAGGATATCGTTGCCCCCTTTCATGCTCGGGGACTCGCGACACCCTCTGTCTGTGTATATCCGCCGATAATTTTTCCTTTATGCTGGAGGACATCTTTTCTCTAGCAGGACTCGTGTCCAGGGGCGGGAGGGTTGAAAGAAAGAGAAAGAGAAAAGAGAAGGAAAGGGAAGCCGGTGAAAAAGGATTTCGATCAAATATATCGTCATATAAAATCCGTCTTCTCCCCCCTCCCCCCCCTTCCCCCCCCCTCGATCGACCGCAAGCAAGACATCTCATTTTCGTTGGAAAGCGGTGGACGAGAGCATCGATTCGTTGTTATCCGTGTCGCGATTCGTTTTGTAATAACACGGTTTCCATTCCCCGGTTCGATCGTTATCGAGCGAACCGCATTTAAGGTGGAAGAGGGCGAAATACAGGGCGAAAGGCTGCCAAACCGCGAGCTAAACGACACTCGTACAACTTTGCCGAAGCATAGGGGCGCGAATCGACGCCATTAACGCAGCTAACAACGTGCACTCGGTTAATTTTGTTAAACAATTTATCGTATTCCGCCCACCCCTCCCCCTTTCTCCCGCGCATCCACACTCCCGCTCTCTAATTGATTTCAACTACGCGTACTACTCTCGAAATCCGCAACGCGAAAACAATTTCTATCATCATCGGTAGAAATGCATTGTGCGCTTTCCGCAACCGTGAGGTAATCATACATCTCGCGATGATTAACCGTTGGCCGCGAACGAGTATTTTAATTTCGAACGAACGACGTATTTCAGGCAAATCGCTTCCTCGAAGAGAGGATTTTCGTCGAACGATCGATATTATCAATGGAATTTATGGAATTTATATCTAGTTATTTCACGATTAAAAGTCTTTTTAACGTAACTCTCGAGATCTTTTCTCTTACGTATCTTATTAAATTATTAAGTTATTACGATCGGAAAGTTCAACTTTGCGTTTCAACTTCGCGAAAAGAATTTTATTATACGCATAATCTTAACGCCGGTGGATCGTGCGACGTCCAATCGAACGTCCGACCATTAATTCGAGGCGCATCGTGGAACGGAGTGCACGATCGAAGTAGTTGGAACGTAAATGTTTGATGAACTGGTAAGACAGAAAATCGAATTAGCTCCGCCGAAGGGGAGGAGCGATCTTCGGGGGAGCGAGAATCCAGATTTATACACGAGTTTAGTGTCCGATGACGTCGTAAAATTACACCGAACGCTGCGTGTCTCTAACGAAGGGAGGAGAAAGAAAAGAAAAAAAAAAAAACAACCATTTCGATTTTCCACCGCGTTCTCTGTGTGCATCCCCTCCTCCTCCAGGGAAATATCATCCTCTTTCCGTTTCCAAGAAATTTATTTCCACTCACGCATCGAGATAAAATCCTGTACTCTCTCTTCTTTTTTCCCTCCCTCTCCCCTTCCTTTATCTCTTAATCGTACTCGAACAGAACGATCTCGATCGAACGTCATCGAAACCCATCTGCGCATATTTACGCGTAATTGCTCGTAACGAATAATAATCTATCATCGTGCCATTTCCTTTCCGCTCGAGCGTGTACGCGATAAGCGCATTAAAGCGGTAATCAGAGGAGGATTGACAAGCGAGGGACACGTTTTAATTATCGTATCGGTTTGAATCGTAATTCCATTGGATCGCAATTACGGACAAGATACAAGGCGGCTACTAACAATTTCCACCGTCTCGTTTTAACGGCCGATCACATTTTACATACAACCGAATCAACGATCCAGATTTTTGATATAATTTTGATAAATTATTTATTGGATTGGACAAACACGAGATGTGAAACGATATTACGATTTACGAGGATCTCTAAAACGCTCTACAACTCTCTCTCTCTCTCTCTCTCCTTTTTTTTTTTTCCTAAGTTGAGCGAACGACACAAATTCCAAATTTCCAATTAACCCAGTTTCCATCCAGTCGTTGTAACAAAGATAGGAATATAATTACACACAGGCCGATGTACAACTCCTGTTCAACGATTCAACCGGTGCAGCACAGCTCTATCGCTAACAACTTCAACCCCCTTCTGTTTGCCTCCGTGAATGATTCATACCCTCTGAAATTTACGAACGGTCATAAGCGATGCGTTACACCGCATCGTGCCGCTTTGTTCCTCTTTCTCCCCTCCGTGCTCCACCTTTGTTCTTTGCGCCGCGTGATCTCGCCGCGAAACGTGATTTCCAGGAATGTCGGGGGCGTTGTTGTAATCGCGGAATAACTCGAGCAACGAGTTTTCAGGGAACGAGAAACGAGAGAGGAAGAAAAAAGAACGTATGAATTTTCATTTTCTCGACGAGTTCTTGCTTCTCCTTTGATCGTGAAACGTGATTTTTCGGCAAGGGGAAGGGGATGACGTTTATTTACGTCTGTCTCTCGATGATGTCGACTCCGCGATACGAAGGGTGGCGCATCTTTGATCGTAATTTTTTGAGGAGGGGAGGAAAGAAAGGACAGGACGATACGTGCACGATCTCTATTTATATCCATTTCTTAACTGGTGGAAACTAGCTAAGATTCGAAAGCGTTTCTTTGATCGCAATCTCGACCGCGAGACATAATTTCCAGGAATATTGGCAGCGATAAATCGGTCGAAACAACTCGAACGAAGTTTGAGACGAGACATTTATTTACTTCTCCGGTGATTCCATAAAATTCTTGAGAAAGTCGTTCCCTTCCAATCTCTGGAAATATAATTTTTACGATAAGCGCGAAACGAGTCAAGACGTTTCAGAGAACGAAACGCGTCCGACATCTTCCAAGAGAATCCTTTTGTCTTTGGAGGATCAAGCGTTCTGGGAGGATGAACTTGGTGGCTGTCCTTGGTGTCGCACGCGATATACCGATTGGATGGGCACTGATTGCCAATCCAATTCGCCGTCGTCTGAACGGAAACGCGTTGGCAAATCGATTCATCGAGCGTGGAACGATTGGCCGAGATGCAGTTAAAAGGATATCTCGGCTATCTCGGAATAAGCGGGATACAAATCGGATAGAGGCGGTCATTGATCGATCATCGAATTCACGCTTCGTTCAAACTGGAATTTTCCCATGAAACGCGCATTTTTGGAAAAAACAAAAGAAAATATCTAGATCGTCCAACTTTCTCGAATAATAATAATCGAAAACAATCCTGTTCTGTTTCCTCATCTTACGAATTCTTCTATTTTATATTCTCTTTCCCTCGACTCGAAGAGATACACTATACGCAGTCGACAACGAAGGTATTTTCGTCCTCAAGGTCCCCCTTGCTATCCTCTTTTCCTCCTCTCGAGCGTTCGATGAAACTTTATCCCCTCTTCCGTCGAGCAACTTGGCCGTTTCGCTCGATTTCGAATACATTGTTTCGAAGAGACGTAGACGGTCTAATCGGTTGCATCCTCTCGCGTGTACGTTTGCCCGTACCATTTGTGGAGGAAACGTTAACTTCCGCGCGCGTTTAAAATCGTGTTGGAAAAATAGGGGCTATTTCGTGGACGACAACGAGCCTAATGCGAGTCTCGTCGTCGTCGTCGTCGTTGCATTTCGCTGTTAAAAACCGGATGCGCCGGTGGAACGCTTCCGTGACGAGGCACGGGTGACTAAGTATTCGTGACGTTGAAACCTGGACGACAATGGGACGAAGGGAAAATTGCGCACGCCGGACAATTGCGGATATCGTGCGACTTTCGATATAAATGGCGAGAGCTCGCGTGTATATATATATATACGCGTGGAATCGCTTTGACACACTCGAGCGACTCTCTCGAACGTTTATCCCGATCGAGCGATGCCAATAATCCGTGCACTCTAAATGTTATGAATACCGGCATTATTGAAAGGGTGTGGATTTATCTGGCCGGATGTTATTTGCCAATGCGGACGTTCGATTTTTGCGGCTCCCTAACCTATCGAATGTCGCACAAGTTTCCGCGATTTCCTAACGTTTTCCAATCTCGTTTCCTTTTCGAATTGTAACGTTATTATTATCTTGGTAAAAAGAAAAAAAAATGATCAATCTTAATGATACGTGTTCCTAATGATTGTACGTTTATTATGTACAATCATGTTTAAGACACGACGATTTTTCGTAAAAATTGAGGTAAAAGTAGAAATTTGGACGATGATGAGGTTTTAGAAAATTGTTTGGAATAATTCGTATTCACCAAGCGTTAGTGTTCGTGAAATATATATAGAAATGAATAGATCTGTTCTTATCATCGGTAAGAATTATTATTACGTTAATAAGTATTCTCGAATAAAGGAGGAAGTGTTATTCATACGATGGAAGGTATAATTTGTAAGAATTAAATCTCAAGATAAGGAGATATCGCGAGCTTCTCTACTTCGGCGGCTGTCATAATACATTTTCATTCTACTTAATTTGCTGCGCCCACGTAGAAAAGGAAGGAACCTTGCACGATATAGATTTTTTTTTTTTCTTCTTTCTTTACCATTCTTTCATTCGACCGGTTAAAGCGTGTTGAATAATACAGCAATATCGTTAATACTGTTCCCCTTATACTCCCTTAACACGTTCCCCTGCAATGACGTCATTCGCGATCAACACGGAACTTTTTTTCCTTTTTTTTTTTGTTTGTGCTGCGATAACGATTGGCATTATTTTCTGAAACACGCGTCTCGAGAAATAGTCGTTACTCGACAATCGTTGCATTTCAAATTATAAAATAAAAAAAAAAAAACTATTATCACTTAGATCGTCAAAATAATAATATCCTTAATCCTTTCACGTTTCAGAAAAGTAGAAAATTGAAAAGAGAGAGGAAAAGAGAGAAATTACAATTAAAGTGAAGATAGATTTCGTTATTTGTCATCGAGCCACGAAAAAAAAAAAAAAACGAAAAACTAAACGGGAGAAAACGTGAAAAGTAATACGTCGATGGCAGCTATTTTCGTGCAGCGGAACGAGAAGAAAAAGTTGTTGATGACCTGAATAACTCAATCAATAGAGCGGTCGTCCAATAAATGAAAGAACCGTATCCCGGAGTCCTCGATCCGGCCAATTGTTTTTCTCGTTACGGATGCCATATAAATAGCTATGAAACCGCCAGTTACAGCAAGGATGAATGCCTCTGGTTTCGCACAATTGACTGTTGCCATAACCCTTTACGCTCGTATTCCCTCGTCGTGGTTTCCTCTCGTAATATCGAAGATACTCGTCGAGGTGTTAGAGATCGAAGAAAGAAACGCTTACGCGTGCGACGAGTTGCCAACGATATCCACTAGATCAAGTACAAGAAACTTTCTTCGAGTATCTATTCTATCAAGTTCTTCTTCTTTCGCTTCTTCTTCTTCTTCTTGTTCTTCTTCTACTTCTTCTTCTTCTTCTTTCTAACACGTTGCCGTACAGACTTTTAGAGACTTTCCAGTCTCGAATCTTTCGACGATAAATCGAAAGATCCCTCTTCAATTTCCACAGTGATCGGATTTCTGCGCGCCGCCAGATATCGTTTCAAAGCTTCTCCACTGACGCTTTCTCAAAGCGTTTCCCGTATCTCGAGCCTCTGGTAATTTCTTCCGGGATCATATCCGGGGGGGGGAGATGAGATCCATTTGGAAAAAAATAACGCGTCCAAACGTGTACCCATCGCGCGACGCATGAACGATTCGTTCCCCTTTTATTCTAACCCGAGCTCCTCAAGGTCGTTGGAACGAAGCCCGCGGAGTTGATCCGACTTTGGATACGCCAGGATCGAAATCCTGCGGATTAGTTTCCATTTCCTCGACGCTCTGGCAGAACTTCTCCGATAGGATTTATCAGAGAAAGGTAGGGGAAAAAAAGAGAGAAAGAGAAGGGAGGAGAGGTGAAAAGAGCGAGAAGTGGGATCGTACGTATGGAGGTCACGAATGCGAAATACGAATATATATTATTCTCGCGATCCTTTTTACCATTCCATCATGGAAATACTATGGATGGGATCGTGTGATGTAAATTCGTTCGAGGTAACAAGATCGCGTGGTCGAAACATCGCCGTGTTAATAATGTATTCTAATGTCAGGCGGGGGTTCTTGGGTGGTCAAAGCTTGGAGATTCGAGCAAATTTTTCGTTCCTGCCACGAGAGGATTACGGGGGAGGGAAATGACAGTTTGCGGATTTTTCAATTTTGTCGAAATGTAAATGTACGGATTGAACGAAAAATTTAGAAAAGTGTAAGAATCACGAAGATATCAACGTATTTTTTTAAGCATTCTAAAGACTTGGAATTAAAATACTTGAAAATATTAACAGAGACAGATTTTGATATTCGTCGAAATTGCTTGAAACGAATTTATTAAAATTTCTTTCTACTAATATCTCAATCCAAAGTGTAAATATCGATGGAACATTTGCAGGGGTGAGCACAAGATCCCATTCGTTAGTGAAGAGGTTCGACGGGATTTACACGGGCCCGTACTTCGACTCAAACACCCCCACGAACATCACGGCTCAGCTGGGGAGCCATGCTTACCTGCCGTGCAAAGTGCGACAGCTCGGTAATAAATCGGTAAGTGTTTCCACTCTTAACCATGACCCGCGTCTACACACACACATACACAACCGAAACATCCAATTACAACTTGCCCAACTTCCATCTCGCTTCGAAGATCGGACAACACAATTCGTCACGAAAGTTTCAAGAAGAAATCAGAATCTGCCGAATCGAAGAAGAGATCAAAGAGATCACGCTACTTGGCTCCGAGCATTCCGTGTTTCAACGTCGAGTTTAACGCGCGAAATTACGGATTCCTTAATTCCAATTCGAACTTCGGAAACCCCTCCCTCCACCAGGTTGCAATCGTTTCCTTGCAAAAAGCAAGCGAGATAAAGGGCGGCCAGATAAAGGGAATTTATTTCGCACGCGAGTTTTCCGTGAGCGAGTCGACGGTTACGATACCATCGTATCGGTATTCCACGAAATCGTTGATCGAGGAAAAATAAAAAAAAAAAAAAAAAAAACAACCATATATCGGCCTCCGTTTCCGCCGATATTTCGCGTGAGCCTCCTCTCCTCCCCCCTCCTCGCTATTACAATAATCGAAACGGCGGCGATAAACCGATACATCAACCCCCTCCTTTCTTCCCCTCCCGATCCGCATGCATGCAGGGGGGATTTATAGCAACTATAAAAGTCTAATATGTCCGCGTTCTGTGTGGCCGTTAGCGAGGATTATAGGAGTTGCGTGAATTTCACGGTTTGGGAAAATAGAGGCGAGATAGGGAGATTGAAAGAGAGGAGGAAAGAAAGGGGGGGAGAGAGAGAGAGATAGATCGTCTTTGGGTATATTAGTTAATGGATAATTGTGGGACGATAATTGGTTGGCTATATAATAAAATTTGCATCTGTTGTATTATATTTATTCCGATATTTGAATATTAATTAATGTCGCGTTCTAATTTAGAACTTTCCGTGCAACTGTGCGACAATCTGATAATATTGAAATGAATTTCGTTTGGAACGAATTAAAAATATTAATGCAAATACTTTTTCTAGCCGTTGTTATATCGTATACGATAAAAATAAATAAATAATTGTTTGTTAACGAAAATTTCCTCCCCTTATAAAACTTTCTCCAATTCGAATCTCTAAAATTATACGCACAATTATATTTCATTCATTGCAATAGCGAACATTTTTTTAAAAAGCAAAAGATTCTCCAATTCTCGATGAAAGATCCGTCCTTCCTTTCGAGTGAACCGTGAAAATTGGCTACTGTGTCGCTCGTTAACAAAATTTTTCTCTACCTTCCATTCGACGTGTGTGTGTGTGTGTGTGCAACAACGTTGCACGTCGAAAGAGGCAGGACTAAGTGTCTGGTGACACGCGACCCTCGCGTATAATCGTCCGATTGCGTACTTAAGGGTCCGCGAACCCGTAAGAGCCGCGACCCCTTTGCACCCCCTCTCCCCCTCCCTCTCTTGTTCTTTCGATACTTATCACACGTGGAATTAAACGTGCCTTTACTGCTGACTTTCTCCGTCAACGACCATTGAGCGCCTCGCCACGCCGGATACACGAGATTGGAAACGATTAGTCCTGGTGGACGGGGTTGCGGAACACGATCGCGCCCCGGTGACTTTGCAATTTGTTTTCCACGTATTCCGAATACGTGTGGCCGGGATATTTGGGATATTTTTTTTTTTTTTTGTAAACGCTGTACATCAATGAAGAGGTTTCGAGAGATTAATGGAAGAGATTTTTTTTTTTGTAACTTCATTTTCGTTGCATCGCAATTTGTCCCTTTTTTGAAAAATCGATGTGACGCGTTAAAAAAGTGATGACGTAATGTCTTAACGATAAACTCTCGATGCACTACGAAGAATAATTATTTGCAATGTATTTTTCGTAAGATGTGTCCTATGATAATTTTGAATGTATCCTTTCTGCTGAAACGTGGGATGAAATCAATCGTTCGTATACACGAAATGTCTCTTTATGCACGCATTGATAATTATTATAATCGAACACTTTATAGGCCAAATCGAATTAGACGGTGAAATTGAATGGTTCGTGTAATCGAGCGCGAATCCCGGTTGAACGAACGGGGGGATAAAAAGGGGAAGGATTTTAAGGATCCGTGAGGTGGCGCAATTAAATCCTTTCGTTGCTCGGGATCGGGCAAGTTAAAAGTGCCGTCGTTCGAAAGTTTCGAAAAAGGAAGAAGTGCAGAAAGGGCGGAAATCGATCGATGAAACGTAAGCCAACGCGAGAAACGGGGATTTACTAATTTATTGCCTTCCCCGCTGAAATTAATGGCACGACAATCGTAATCGAGCGAGAGTCGGAGAAAAAGGATAGAGGGAAGAAGGAGGAGAGAAAGAGAGGGAAGGAAAAGCTCCTCGGTTTCAACGAACACTGTTCGCCGAGATAAACGAATTCCATCCGGTTTGGAATTTCCAAGATAACGATTCCACTTCGAGAATTAACCGAGGGATTACGGTTCTCCTTGCGCGGATCGCTATCGATACACCAGACATCTACCATTTGCAAATTTTTTTCCCCCGCGAGTTGAATTATAACCGATCGTCGTATCGCGGGACCAAGAGGCAATTACTCCGCTTCGTTGATTGCAAACGTTCCCTCGATTTCTAAATCGGCTTGAAAAACCGAGTAGAGTGCTGCCGCTTGCTTTCGAGTCAAGCGTCAATAGAATCGTAATGCGGAAACCCATTCGTACGTTCCATTTTTCTATCTAAGAATTTGAAACGAAAAGAAAATGAAAAATTGTATTTTTATTCGAAAACACTTTTACTTCTCTATTGATTATCGATATTATGTTGAGTATAATTTTTAATAGAATTAATATTATTGTTAATATGTATTTACAAAATTTACAAATGCAATAATAATAATAATAATATATAGCAATAATAAATACGCTATATTCATTAATCGACCGAGTATAAATTAGGAAATCCGCGTTAATTATTACAACCATCGTGCAAACTATCATTCACGTTTTTGAAGGAATAAGAAGAAAGAGTTAGCCGTGAAAACTTCTTAATTCCATCGTGAAAATTCGTTCGAACGCCGTTAATAAAGGGCGTGAACACGTTTGAAAATCCTCCCTCCTCCAATCTCGTTCCATTTCCCGCTACAAATATATTCCTCTGTAAAATCACGGATACATCACTCGCTAACACTGATTTAATTAAAGCATTCCAATTTACCACCTTCAGCAGGATCCCTTCGCATTACCACCTTCCCTCCCTCCGCTTATCGCGAGAATAGATCGAATATATACTCCGTGATACAATTTCTTCTCTAGATCCACGTGAGGGGAGGAGGCGGGCCGAGCAAGTCGATCGCCCCACGATAAATTAACCGTAGACAAGGGAAAGAAGATTGATCGAGCAGGATCGAGGAAAGTCGAGTCAGGCTCTTTCTCTCTCTCTTTTTCCATCTCGTGGTGTATTTTCCACAGCTTTTTCCACAGAGTTTCTCGATCCGTATTCAGGATCCGAGAGGAGCTCGCGAATTTCCAGCCAGACACGGTTGAATTTCACTTCGTCACTGGTTCCCTTTCTCTCTTTCTCTCTCTCTCTCTC